TAATTCCTGAATAAAACCGGTTGATAGTCTTTGGGTATAAATGAACATCAAATCAAACAGATGATGTTCTTTGACAAGTGATCACGCCGGAAATCAATTTAAACCGAGAATTCTGCGTATCACAAAGAGCGAGTCAAATGAGTCAAATGAGTCAAGGACAGGGTGAGTGATCAATCTATCCATCTCTGATAGGGGTGTGTTTACCGAGAAAAAAAAGCGATAAGATATGATATACAGTAATCCATATTCAATGAATTGATAGAAATTGGAGGGTCACAATTGAACTCAATAGTCCATTTTCTTTTTTAAGCAGGGTCAACGAATGGAAATGGGGGAATTACCGCAACCCACATCAATGGAAAATCTTAGCAACCAATAAAAACCATCGATATTCCTTATGGAGCCATTCTTTATTTTTAGACGCACGCCCACAGCGCACCCTTTGTACGGTGTAGAAAAGGAAATATCTAATAAACGTTATCCAAATATAGATATAATTTTGAGTTTGATCATAGCCCACCAAACTACCAACTAGTTATAGTATCAGATCATGTATGAAATCGTGTAGAAAGAGAACATAACACGTCCTTCCTCCATTGTTCATGATATAGTGATCCGTGGATCGGAGAAATAATTTACATAAACTCATCTCTGCTGAAAGTCGACATTTATCAGAAATGACATACGGGCACCCACGGGGTGGTGCCCCAAAAAAGGATCCCTGGCATTAGGTTTTTTTCTTCGTCTACGAGTCTACGATCCCATGTTGAGAATAACCTTTTTTCTTCGGGTCTTGCCGAAATGCTACAGAGTAAAGTCATGATCAAAGAGCTTAGCGTTGCTTAGATAAAAAAGATCACATGTGTGCTGTAAGCTTCTTACATTCTGCACAAAACAGCATAGATTTAAATCTTAACGTTTGCATGGTTCCTGTGCGTAATGTTATAAGAGTTAATATGCATAATAAAAATGCATTGACTATCACCATCTCAACATTTAAAAAATAACTTTTCCGGATCTCAAATTTGTAGTAATTATGTCGTTTCGAAAACACGAACTCAAAAAATTTTGGCTGACATCTTTAAAAATTATTTCTTACTCTAAAAAGTTAATAAATTAATTAAAATTCTGTATTTGTATACAAGTTCAATAATAACATTACACAAGTTAATATAAAAAGTCTCACAAATACAGCATATTCGTTAAAATGTTGGTTCATTCACCAATTTTACTATTTAAATAATTTAGCTAATAACTCGATAAGTGGCGTGTTTTACTTGATTTAGTTTCGTGACACTGATCAGTATATCAATCTTACGTCACCTCATTTCATTAAACACATCGGACATTGAAAATTAAATTTGATATAGTCTGTTTTTTTCGATATCATATGCTAAAGTACGTACAGTATATTCCTTATACCAGATATTACAAAATCAATAATATCAATAATATCAATAATATCATCATCATTATTTTAAATCACAATATCATTATTATTTATAAAATTAATTAAATTTAATTTAATTCTTATATCTAATGATTTATGATCGAATTTTTTTTTTTTTCGTAATTATCTTATACTGTATACGTGTTCGACGCAAACTACGTAGTTTGACCAATTCGTATTGTCTAAAGAAAACGTGATTTTTATATAATACAAGTTTTATTATACGATGCAATCATATACTGTATATACATATCAACAATCTAAGAGAAGATTGATTGGTTGGTTGGTTCGGTTCCTGTACGCGGTATTGTAATAAAAAATTTTTTTGATTGTATGCACGTACAGTATGCAGTATATGCCGTAGATATACTGTGGCATCTTCACATTCTTTTATTTGATGTAAATAAGGTTATTGTACATACTGTAGGAGAATGACATCAGTCTTCAATGGATTAACTATAATCTATTATTGCTATTATCCATCCAATATGTTAGATATATTGTATATTATAAAATCATTGTTTTAAATATCAAATAAACATATATTTTAATTATGAAATAACTTAAAAAATTATTTCAATCCACTAATAATAATTTAAGTTTAAAAATTTAAAAAATAATAATAATAAGTATCTTACGTATCAAACATCTATTTTAAAAAATTTAATAAAAATTTATTTGATATAATCAATCACGTTTTAAATAATATTGATTAATTATTCATATGTTCAAAATTTAAAATTTACAGATTAATAATTTTATCTTGAAAACTATATATTTGAATTTTTTTTATTTCAAATAATTATTAATTTATTATTTAAATATTATTTATAAAAAAATTAATAAAATTTTAATATCTGTTGTTATATTATTAAATAATTATTTTATTTAATATTTGTTAATAATATTTTTTTTATTATATATATAGTATTTATATTTTTAATTTTATTTATATATAATATTATATATTTTTTTTAAAAAGCTTTTTTTATTAATGATTTTTTTTTTTGTCAATTTAAAAAATAAAATAACCTAAAAAATTTTTATATTTTTTAATAATAAGTTTATAAACTTTTTTTAAAAACTACTTTTTTCTTTTTGTTTTATTTTTTTTTGAAAATTTTTATAATTTTAATAAAATATATGTATATTTATAAAATTTATAAAAATATATATTTTATTAAGAATTTAAAATTCAAAAAAACTTTTTTTAAAATTTTATATTTTAATATTATCATTTTTACTCTTATTAAACCTTCTTTTTTTTAATATATAGTTTTTTAAAAAATTTTTATAAAAACTTTTGTTTTAATTTAATTTCAAATTTTTTATTATATTGAAATTTTTAAATTAATTAATCTTTTAATAATAAAAATATAAACAAAATATATTTTTTCTATATATATATTTTATATAATATTAAATTCAATAATATAATTATTTATTTAATTAAAATTAAACAGTTTTTAATTAAAGTTATACTTTAAAAGTAAAATTTAAAATTATTATCAAAATAGTATTATTAGAAATCTTATTTGAAAATATATATATATTTTAATATAATTTAATATTACTAATTCAAATTGGATTATTCAGCTATCAAATTACAACTGATTAAATTCAAATTTATTAATAAAAGTTTATACTGAAGTTTTGTTATTTGATCCAATTTATATCATTCAATACTTTAAAAAAAACACAATAATTTAGCAAAAAAAAATATAACATTTAACAAAAAATAATTATTCAACAATAAAATCAATTGATAATAAAATCATTAGACAATAAAATTATTTGGCAATAAAATCATTTGGCAAAAAAATATTTTTAATTAAAAAATATTTGATAATAAAATTATAATATTCTATAATAAAAATTATAACATTTAAAATAAATTTTTATTATTTAACTATAAAGTTGACAAAATTATTTAGCATTATATACTTTGATAAAATCAAATTATATA